CGCGCCTAAATTACTTTATGTGTATTGACAGGCAAACACACACAGACAGGGTACACACACACACTCACACACACACACACACGCAGCTTGCTTGCTGCTTATATTAACTCCTTGAGTCACTTTTGTGCATTAGTCACACTTGGCCGCTTGCTTTGTGCCCTTTGCTTTATTTGTTATATTGCTTTATCTTCTTCTTGTTTTTGTTTTTGTTGCTCTTTTTTTCTTTCTCATTGATTTTGCTTAGCTTAAAAGTTATTAATGCACACATCAAAGCGAAAGTCTTTCAAATGTTATGTTAAGTTATTTCAATCGAAAGTTGACAACTTCTTGACATTTGAATACCCTGTTGGGCATTAGCAAGGTGAGCATAATAGGCCTATGGCATGCTTTAGTTCAAATATTTAATCTATACTATATTTATTAATACGTGTATATTTTATATAGATATTTGTTTGTGTTCTAGTTGCCCATAGCATTCTGAAGTAAAAAAGGGCAATTTCTAGTCTCTACAACTCTGTTAGTCTACAGTTAACTGCAGGCATACTTGCAATGAAGTTACAGGGTATAGCTTCTAGTTATAGAAAACATGCTTCAACATAAAAAGAGAAACTTTCAACTGAGTCAAAAATTTGTTAAAATTCTTAAAGCAAAAATTTAAAAGCATTCGTTAAATATTTTATTGTAATTTTTTACAGGGTATACTATCAAATAGCATACTCTTAAAGCTAAATCCCTATTTTAGGGCAAAAACTTGGCATTTTAATCAAATGCTTTGGCATCAAAGTTAACCAAAAAAAAAAACAACCAAAAAGGGTCAAAGGAACTGAACTAAAGTTTGCTGTGGGGCAGTGGGTCAAAAGCGCCAAACTAATTTGACACTGAACGTTGGCCGCAAACTGATGGCACAGACTGTGCATAATGCTTATTATCCTCGACCAAACAGGCAAAGGCGTTGCAAGCAGCTGGGCAGCTGCTCTTTCATTTTGTTGCATGCAATTTGCAATCAGCAACAGCAGCAGCAGCAGCAGCAAATGCACATTAGAGCCAGTGTTGGAAAATAAACAAAGTGAACTTTGTGTGAGTGACAGACAGGCAGGCAGACAGTTAGTCAAAGAGTAGCAGCAGGATGCTCCGGCCTGCGTTAAGTATGCAGCAGTCTTCGCACACACACACACCATAAATAGTTAACACTCGCTAAGTGCGTGCGTGTGTGTGTGTGTGTGTTAGTGTCATGTTGCCTATTATGAATTGTGCAATTGTCGTCAACGCCAACGCGCTTCTACTCAGCTTCTCTGTTGTCCAACTGACTGCACTCACTGTGCCTCGCTCTCTCTCCCACTGACTTTGACTCTGACTGACTGACAGGCAGCTGCAGTCGTCGCCACCGCCTCCGCCGTCTGTATTTATCTCTTTCACTGCTGCCACTCCCACAGCTCCAACGCCCTCGCAGTATCATCAGCATCCACATTGTGATCATCGTGCGCTTTGTTTGCACCGCTGACGTACGCTGTCTGCTCTGTTTGCGAGCATTATATGCCATTTTTTTTGTCCTTTCACTTGACTTTGCCAAGACCCCTTAACAACAGTTGCTGCTGCTGTTGTCGTTGTTGTTGTTGTTGTTGTTGCAATTGCTGTTGCACTTCTTGTAAATGACTCTTCAACGTTTGTCGTATTTGTCTGGCAGCACTTTAAGTGCCAAATATTTTTACATTTGTTTACTGGCATTGCTGTTGCTATGGCAGTTGCTGCTGCTGCTGCCGCTGCTGCTGCTGCTGCTGCTGCTGCTGCTGCTGCTGCTGCTGCTATTGCCATTTGCATGCAGTGCACACATTTTGACAAATGACGCATGTTGCTTTCTGCTTTCAGCTTTCAGCTTTCAGCTTTCAGCTTTCTGCTTGCTGCCTGCCTTGTGGCAACTGCCTGCTATCAAATTTATGACATGGCACTGGCACTAATTAGACCAAGTGCCCAAATCAGAAATCGTCCAGTTAATCAAGCGTACAAGTATTTAATTAAGTGTCCAAAAAACTGCCCACACACACAAGCAACTTTCTCATTAACAACATTCCTAGAGAGGAGCGCGTGTTTAAGTTTGATAAAAAAGAAAAATAAACATAATTTTAGTATTGTTAAATGCTTAAACGTTCACAATAGAGCTAAGGTTTGTATTAAATATAATATAATATAAAAAATAAAAAAAATATAAATTATAGTAAATAAAATTATAAATTAAAAAAATTAAAACTAAAAAATAAATTGCACAAAATTACAAAAATATAAAAATAAAAAAAAGTGTTATATAAAAAACAATATTAAAAAATAAATATTAAACAAAAAATTAAAATATTAATTATTATTATATACAATTTTTTTTTAAATAAATATATATATTAAATAAAAAAAAAAAGATTGCAGAAGATACCAAAAAAAAACTGCTTAAGTATATGTCAAGAATCAAAGGTCATAATGAAATTATACAAATATTATAAATTTGAACTCTGCTCGAAAGCAGGATGCGATATTTTCATGTCACGCTAAGCACACAGCTCTATTCAGCTGTTTCTGTAGATATTGAGCAGCGTTGGGTGAGCGCCTCAATTTAATATTTATGCGCTTTGTTGGCATCGCATGTCAAGTCATCAAATTGAGAAATGTAGAAAAGCCAAAGAGGCAAATAGAGAGAGAGAGAGAGCGGGAGAAAAACAGAAACTAAAATCTAAAATACTGGCACTAGTTGAACTGGCCTAGGAAAAGTATATGTGCTGTCTGTTTGCATTCATCATCAGCAACGGCAATTGACTGACAGCAGCAACAATTGCAGCTGCAGCTGCAGCAGCAGCAGCAGCAACAGCAACAGATTTACATGAACTCATTCGCATTCATTTCAGGCGCTCGCATCAGATTGCATACATTAGCAACCAGCGCTGTCTGTCTGTCTATATACGACTGTCAGTCAGTCAGTCAATCAGTCAATCAGTCAGTGAATCAGTGAGTCAGTAAGTCAGTCGATTGTCTGTTTGATTGTCAGCTATTCTGAGCTGCGCTCTTTAGCAAGTCCTTTATGCTTATGAATATGCAAAGCCATTTAGAATTGAATCGCATGATTGTCAATCTTGCGCATTTGATTGAACGGCTGTCTTTTCCGAGCCTGACAACTAGAAGAAGAATGCATATCTAATGCGTATATCAATTCCGCACACTTGCTGTGAACAATAATTAAGTAACAGAAAGTTACTTAATTGAATTACCCATGAAATTAAATTATAATGAACGAATCAATAAGTCGCATTAAAATAGGTCTATAAATAAATGATTTAGTCTGGTTTGATTAAGATATAAAGAACTTAAATTTCAAATATAAAAATCAATTTATTTTAATTATTTTTTTTATTTAAATATATATGCATAAAAATATATAAATTTTGTTTTCTTCTTCATTTAAAGTTATAAGATTCGTTCCCAAAGTGATTTTGTGCCGTGTACATCTGGCTGCTTCTCGCTCCGTCTATTTTAAAGCTCATCAAATTAATCTTGTAGTCTGCCATAAATATACTATCGTTTATATATGTTTATATAGTATAGTATAGATTCAATAGTCTATGGTATATATGGTTACCAACGTTCCACTCGGCTTTTTCAACACGGTCACTGTAGGCGAGACAAATGGGGCCTACCAACATATAGACAAATAATGGAATATTCAAGTGTTTTTTAGCCAAATTCTCAGAAGTTGGCAAGTCAGTAACTATGGTCATACAGCTAGAATATACTTACTCCCGTTTCTATCTTTCTTTTTGAGACCCTTTCTAAATCAAATTTATTTTATCTAGAATATATTGCTTGAATTTCAAATTACCTAGCCCCACTGTACCTACCTCGCTGCTGCAGCTCTAATGCCCACTGACAATTTAATGAAAATGCCAAACAATTATGACGCACACGGGGTTAAGTTCGTAAGTCCCGCTTCACTCAATGATGATTGTCGAAAAGCAATTTATTGATTGGCAGCTGAGTAAATAATACACGATTAGAGCTTTCCACAACACTTGAGCTTAGTTAAGTTCGGTTCCATTCAGCTGAGCTGTCGACAATATTTTGTGGGCTCCCATTTTTACTTCTTTTTTTGGCATTCGAGCGATTAGGCAACACGCAAAGGTCGCCAAAATACAAAATATTGATTATTGCCCCTGGCTAGACGCTCGAGCAATAATAATAACAAACAACAATAAGAATAACAACAACGGAGCGGCCCGCACAAATAGTTGGGCTTGGCCCGCTTTCCCAACAGTTCAATAAAGTGGAACAGCGAAAGGGTTCAAGTGAAATTGATAAGCTGCCGGCTAAGCCGAACCAATAGAAACTAGAAAATGTATTTCTGTTCGCTCATGAATAAAATAAATGAAAACAAAAAACATAAACTAACGAAATTTAATCAAATCGCTCAACTCTAGTTTAATCAGTTTAAGTGAAGCAAGTATCAAATGAAAGCAAAGTTATTCTTTGACTTGGCAGCATCAAAAGCAAGTTGCTGGCAAAGTTTAACATGAGCATTGAAAACCTCATTGTAAGCACTTTTCTTTTCATTATTGTCAGATGGTGAAAGGAGGGAAAAGAACATTACAAATAAATTTAATATGCATGTTAAATTTAACATGCAGATAAGTTCTATATATAATGGGAAAATGGGAACATGCTGTACATATTCTTGATCAGATTGTTGAGCTAAGTTAAGATAGATTTGCGTATCTGCCTCTTGTCTGTGCGTCTGCTCGTCTGCTCGTCTGTCTCTGTTTTTATCCATCTAGCTATCTACCCGTCTCTCTCTCTCTCCGTCGATTTCAGCAATAAAAAAGATCTATATATATATTTTAAATATATATTCTTTTATACTCTTACTCATACACATAAAATTGATTTATTAATTTAGATTTATCAGAAGTCAAGAAAGCAAATAAACTAATTTCGATTAGTATTCTTAGACTTTGATACACACATTCAATTGAGTTCCATATTCAGGCCCAACGTGTGGAAATCTCATACATCATCAAATACATACTGATCATCCAATACTGGCATACAAATTTCGTGGAATGCGCAAAATTCCGGGTATATTCAAGTCATGCCTCGGAACCAGAGCACTTTTTTAATAATCAAGCATTCATATATCCGTATATATTTGTCTCCCTATTGCATTTGTAGTCAATGAAAAACATTCTTTCATGTACAATAAAAAAAACTACAAAAGGTTATTCTAATCTAGTGAAGTGACAAAAAACGTATAATCTGGAATATTTACATTACTTTACTCGGCGCAAGTTAGTTAAATTTCTGTTCATTACCATGTCAAATAACTGAGGAGAAGAACGTGATTGAAGTGCGAGTGCAAATTGTATTTTGGATATCGTTTGGTATACGTACAACTCGGACTTAGGCAGATATACTAGACACATAATACCGTTACATAAATGCATGAGGCCCGACAGTAATCCAAAGACCGCTGCCAAATAGAAAAACTTGGCATATTCATTGCCACAATGACTCACCATGGCGACGAGCACAATGATTGTGGCAATAACTAATATAATCCCGCTAGTTAGGTTGAATATAATTGACTGTAAGGAACACAATATTGCCTTTAAAGGATGTGAATTAAATATTCAGCAATACTCACGCACAATTGGATCCAGGCCGACAGTGCCACAAAATATTCGATATATCGCCAAGAATATCGTATGGACGGTAATAACCGGTAAAAAAAAGATGTAGAACCATATCGATACGCCGTACTCGCCTCCCCGAACACAATGCGAGTTAAACAGTTCGACAATAAAACCGATTGCAATCACTTCGAAAACCTGTTTGATTGATGGATAGATTATCATGCAGCTGTATGCTTTGCTTCAATTAATGAAGTTGGCTTTTTTCGATTCTCGGTTATAGTTTTGCTAGTGCTGCCAAACTTACCGCCGAGATGATTGTTAATACCCAATTTGTGATACGAAACATACTGAGAATTTTGTAATCGTTGACAAAATAAGCAAATCAGTTGCTACCGCCTAAAACACTAGCGTCGACAAGGACAAGTCCCCTTCTGATCCTGGTTAAAAATATTATCAAAAATAGAAACACAAACAAAACCAAACGAACGAAACGAAACGAAAAGAAAAGGGTTCCATTGCTGACGCTGCCATTGCCCCAGGACTGACCCCGTTTGGCTGGGGGCAAGTCGTATCGCTAATTTCATTAGTTGCGGAATGCGATGCGATGATTTCATGCAATTTAAAGCCACATTTTTCAGTCGCCTGGCATTTAGCATACTCGTAATTGTAGACGCGGACCATACCTGGTCCCGAGACCCGGCCGAGCCCAGTCCTGCGCACTCAGCCCTCAGGCTTTTATAATAATTGCCTGTTGACACGGGATGGCAATGGGGTCCAGTTAGCAGACGGGTCAGGTGGGAGGTGCCGTGGTAAGTAACGTTTTATGGCCCTGATAAATGAAATTTCAAAACGAAGCCAAAACAAACCAATGAAAAGTGTTCTAGCTGGGCATATGGGACTAGAAGATGCCCTGTGCCAAGCGACAAAACTGCCGCTTTAAGCATTACAATTTCAATATTTTTAACATGAAAGTTTTGTTATGAAATGACTTATTTTTTAACTGAAAGTGCTATAAAACAACTAAGACAATAAATTTCATGTCTCTAACTCAAATAGTTCTCGAGCAATATTAAGCATCTTTTCGGAAATTTATTTACAACGATCTTTAAGCTAATATCGAGAATTATTAAAAGATTAAGAAAACTGTAACTAGGTCTTAGTGTATTTTATACCGAATAAACTGTAAGTCTTAGAGTTCTCGAGCTATGCTCAAAAGCAAAAATATTTTAAAAATATTTGACAAATTAATTAACATATTTAGAATATAAAATAATATCTGATTTACATGATATATAAGAGAATTATACTACATAGTTCTCCAGAAATTTTCGAAAAATCAGATCTTTGTGTGGATTTTATTGATATGAGCTTAACGGGTTGAGCCAGCAAAAAGAGGATAATTCCTAAATTTGATATATTTTTCATTCATAGTTTTCGAGTTAACTAGACAATAGCGTAATAGCCATACTGGCATTGCATGTTACCTACACCTTATCCAAGACCATTATACCCCTTATGCCTATGCTCTCAATGTATAACAATGAAAGGCAAAGTGGCCAAAACATAACTTGACTCAACTACAAGACCAATTCTACCCCATAACGCCCACCCGAGGCCCATCCCCACTAGCTGCTGTTGCTACACCTGCACCTCTCTCTCTCTTTCTCTCTTTCTCCATCTCTGTCATTCAATATATATATAGAATGTGTCTTTAGTTTTGGTACGCTTCGATGACAGCCCGACACTTGGCTCATTAAGTAGCCAATTTCGTATCGATTTTTATTTAAAAACAAAATATTCTACAGTGGCCTAGAAAATTTAAAGCCACGACAATTGCAGATTGCGCCGCAGGGCAGTCGAAACTAGTGCGCCAGTATATTGTAAGAGACTTGTGCAAATTTATGGGCAAATTTTGAAGCAGCAACTTTTACAGGCTTATGTATATACGCCTGGAGAGCTCAAGGAAAAGTATGTGCAATCCCAGGCGCATCCAAAGTGGAATAAAAGAGACTGCAACTAAAAAGAACTAGAAAAACTGAAGAAAAATACCAAGAAAATACGTCAAGTTATAACTCGTCGAAGCGTGAATACGCTTTTAAAAATATATTTATTCGGAACGATTGATTAGAGACAAGTTGAGACAAGATTTGATGAAGTGATTAACGTTAATCAAAGAAAAAAAGAATAAAGATCATGATTTAAAATATCTGGCTAGATGATATAGTAATTCGATCAGGCTCAAAGCGATATTTCAACTTGAGCAGCCATCTATAAAATGTGATTGGCAAAGTATATACTCTCTATATAAGCACACCTCATCAATAAAGCCCATATATATCTCAGTAATAGCTCCACCTCTTATCGTATCATATTCGATGACAAATCGATCATGCCCCAGTGCAAGCGCTTGGCAAAAAGGAAAGTAGACGCATTTGCCTTGTTAAAACAACAACGGAAATGTAGGCTATGATTTGCTTACTTGCCAGGACATTTGCTCTGTAAAAGTGCTGAAATATGCACGAACAACAATGTGTGTCTCTGTGTGTGTTTGTGTGCGTGTGTGTGTGTGTATTTGTATTGGAACTTCATGACCGCCGCACACACAATGACAGCTTACATTGGTGTTGCTTGAGAGTTGAGAGCGCACATAAATCAAATACATGTAAAATTTTGTGCTTTCCGCACACATATCCTGCGCCAGGGCATTGGCCATACACGCAGGACATCATGCTAGCTGCGCTCACTTTCTACATGTCTATGTGTGTGTGTGAGTGTGTGTGTGTGTTTGGTTTCTGTGTGCACTGTGTTTTGTGCGCATCCGTTAACTTTGTCATTTTTGCTCATTTCCTTCCGGTATGTGCAAGAAAAGTGCAACAAAGCCAATGACAACAACAAACTACAAGGCAAACGATATAATTCCCAGCACTGCACCACTGCACCACTGAGCCGCTGAGCCGCTGAGCCGCTGAGCCACTGACAGGCCGTAAGAAAGCAAACAACAACAGATGAAAGCAAACAAAAAACAACAACAAAATGCACAGCGGGAACAGCAGCAATAAGCTAAGGGCATAACTTTCTATAGCATACACACACACATACACCCAACCCACCCACCACACACACACACACACACAGTCGAATACAGTCAAGAAATTACTAAGACATTTGCCTTGGCATAAACTTTGCAGCTGGAATTTAATTATTTTGCAGTTTCAGCTGGAACTTGGGCCCAATTTTTTGCACATTAAACACAATATATGTAATACACAATAGCTGCCAACAGATATGCACAAAGACCATGCCCCCTCTAGCTCAAGCACACATACGTACGCACACACGCCCTCAATAGTAAGAGCTGCCAAATAGCAGCATTTGCATGTGATTTCCCTGGCATTTATTTCAGTCACACGCTGCGCTTACTTTATACAAAGTCAAAGTCGTAAATAAGTAAACGAAGTGAAGCCAGAGTAGTTGGGTATAACAGACTAGAGCATACTCTGCTTGAAATGTTTGTTGGGCAAAACGATTTAAGGCTTTAGCTTGAGCTGCAAGTTGATAAACTTGCGCGATTTATAAACCCAAATATTTGATATTAATTTTATGTGAGGCTTAATTGATAATAGAACTCAGAAACCACACTGCTGATACCCTGAAATTATTAAAATTTTCTTACTCATCTAACAGCAAGCAAGCTTGTAAACTGTGGCTCAACTCATAGCATTTCGATAGCCAGATATATTCAATATTCTGCAAAACCAATATACTCTATAGCTCAGCAAATAAACAGGGCATTTTTTTGTTTCTGGTGTGCAATCAACAAGCCAAATAACTTTTGTCAAACAAAAAACAATTCCAAAACGCATTTGCTTTTATTTATTTTGTTTTGCTGAAATTTAGTTCAATTGTTTATATGATTAAAAAGTTGCTAAGGATTAAGTAATTAATTTACAAAAATAAAACTCCATAAACGAATATATATTTAAACCTGTGAGCAGCTGCGTATCAGCTTTGCTGCACAATCAAAGGCAGCAGCAGCAGCGCTGAGTGAAGCCAAAGCTACATGCAACTAATTAGCATGGCTTGTTGAACTTTTTCACAAAACCAATTAAATCTCTAGAACACACACGCACATACACACACACATACACACAGAGAGACACACAACTTGGTAATGAAAAAAACACACGTGTGTGTGCGAGCCTTTGATCACAAAAAGTTTCGCGTCTACAGAGCAACAAATACCGTCAAACGCGTCAAACAACTTTTAAAAAAAAAATAAACAAAAATAAAACAATTTTTAATAAAAATAAATATATACTTTATAAATATATACATATATGTGTAGGTGCAACGACCGCCTTCTAACTTTGTCGCATAGAGCAAAAGAAATTAATAATAAAAAAATAAAAATAAAAATTACAAGCAACAAATAACATTATTAACGTGAAATTAAACTTTGCAAATTTGTTTGCCAACGCCGCCAGACATGGCAAAAAAAATACTCTGCAGGAAGCTTAAAAATAGAATTAACAGAAGGTGACATTTGAAAGCATTTTCATATGAGCGGAAAATTAGCACATGATGCGAGGGTTGCCAAAGGCTAAACGTTTCACTCGTATAACTCAAGCGAAATTTATAATAAATTTTGTAAAGAAATTTATTTAAAGTATATCGCAGTCATGATATAAATTTAATTGTAAAATCAAGCAGGAGAGTTTATAGCAGAATTCTAATAATGATAATAGATCATGAAAAGTATTAACTCTTGACAAAGTCACTTTCTTAAGAATAACCAGCGATATGTTCTGTTTTTCAGAAAAGTTGCTAAGAAAAACAAGAAAAACTACAATAGTTTAATCAAAATAAGAGCAAACTCAAGTCAATAAAATATTAAACAAATAACTAAATAGGAAAAACACTAGAAGCTACCTTCTTAAATATGTCAACAAAAACCAGAATCAAGTCAAATAGACTTTTGAAAATATTAGAAGCTTCCCACGCAAATACTCACAAATATAGAACCTGAAGGCAACCAGACTTCAAAGAGCTATTTCAATAGCATAATAGGCTACCCTCGCAAAAAGCTCAAACATATATAATAAAGTATGTTATGTGTGGCATGGGCAGCGGGGCATCGGGGCATCGGCTACAACTCTACCTATGCAACTTTCCGATGATGCAACTTTTTGCCTCCATTTTTTTCTGCTGCTGCTGCAGCTATTTGTCAAGTGGGCAAAAGTTGAAACGTATGCGTAACACGTACTATATGGAATGCTCAACTATGTAGCAGAGTGTAGAATAGTAGTATGGCCGAGTCTTGTGGGGGGCTTAGTGTCAGCTTTAAAGTGCAACCTTGTTGAAATGGAGTACAAGTACAGCTAAATTAAAGTTTCACATTTTTCATCTATTTTATTTTTACTTTTTTTCAAAATTGTCTATACAAACACTTTTTAACAAGTGTGCGGGTGTGTTTGTGTGTGTGCTTGTTTGTGTGTGTTTGTGTCTAAATGTGTTTACTTTTGCAATTTCCTCTTATTTGTTTTAAGTTTTTGGGCAAACAGTGCGCTCAGCGCTCTGTTAGCTGTTAGCTGTTGACGTTAAGTTCTCAGACCCAAAGTTTCCAGAAGTAATCTTTTAATTAAGTGCCCAAAAAAAAAAGCTGTTAGGAGGAGCAGAGCAGGAGACAGTAAAAATTATGAGGGATATGCAACAGGAACAGAGTATATCTCTCTAAGTACATAGAGCGTTTAAGCGAGCTTCTTGCTAAACGGCCACAAACAGTGTGCAAAATGTAATTTGATTAATGGGAAAATGTTGTGCTTAATTAGCAAAGCAGGAACAGACGCAAATAACAAATAAACCGGAGGAACCAACTGCCCCGAAAGAATAAATAAGACACATTAAACAAATACACAAAGGAAAAATAACAAAGATCTGTTATCTTTAAGATGACGAAGAATAAATATGCTGTTGGGGAAAAATATCTAATTGCTGCTTGATCAAGCATATATATATTTATATATATGTAATGCTAAGGCCAAACAGGCTCGTTTGCCAAATTGATGACTAAAGCGTCATACCCGACTGGCAGAGCGTAAAAATATATTTAAGAGCTAATTGCGCGCCAAACGAGCAAATGAAAATTGCCAATGAAATGGAAACAGCGCAGCGGCAGCAGGCAAAAGGAGGCGGTGTGACAGAGTAAATGGAAACAAAGCAAACAGCAACAACAACAACAGCAGCAAAATGGCAAAAAGCAACAGAGAAGAATCCTGTAAGGCAGCGAATCCTGCAAATATTTTACAACTAATAAAAACATTGCAGCAGTCGAGTAAATCAAGTGAAAAACTACAAAAGGCAACACGAAGAAAAACAGTTGAGAGCAAAAGCGAAAAAACATGAGTAAAAAATATGTATAAAATGAGGTAAGAGAATAAATACAACTGCATTTATTGTGTAGGCAGTGTGCATGCAGGAGGGAGCAAGGAGGAAGCAGGAAGTAGCAAGTAGAAACAAGTGAATAGCAAAAGCCATGAAAAGCTGACAAATGGCGATTTGCCGCAAACAATTAAAAGAATGTTAACATTAAGAATTTTGATGTGATTTGGAAAGAGTTATAAAGCAATATATATCTATGGAAAAATTATATATATGATTTAAATATATACTATAGATTTTGTATGTCAAATATACAAATATTAATAAATACATAATAAAAATACTTAAAAATATTAATAAATATATATATATATGATAGGCATTAAAGTTTTTAATAAGAAAATAATTTTACAAAAATATTTAAATTTATTCTATAGACTTTGTTATTTGGCATACAAATATTAATAAATATATAATAAAAATACTTAAAAATATTAATAAATATATATATATGATAGGCATTAAAGTTTTTAATAAGAAAATAATTTTACAAAAATATTATTAAATATATTATACATTTTAAATTGTTATTTTTAATTTTTTATTGCTTTCCTAAAAAAATCATTTATATGTAAATATAAATTCAAAATAAATATAATTCATATTATTATGCATAAAAATTCATAAAAATATATTTTATATATATATTTTTATAGCTTGCTATAAGTTTCTTAAGAATTAATTCAACAGATAATATTTTCAAAGTAGAAATGTTTTTCATTAGCTTTATATAATTAATAAAAATAAAGAAATTGTAAATTTTCTTACAAAATAGTTATTCTTCATTTAAGGCACTTTCTACGAAAGTAAAAAAATTATTTTAAAATTTAAAAAACATTATTTAAATTAATTTTAGTTCATTGCCTATAAAAATATATTTTTTATTTAAGAAGGCCTTTTCGTAAATATTTATACTATTATATAAAAAACCCTATTTATAATTATACAAAACATATATTGTTGTTTCAATATAAATAATATTATGTATGAGAAGTTCATTTTCAAGGAAAATAACAAACTTTTAGAGTTTATTTTTCGAAACCACAATTGCTAAGTTAATTAAGATTGGCCTCCATTTCTCTAAGTATTTTGACTAGCATGATAGTAAATAACTTTTATATTTTCGATTTCTCATAATACACAGGGTCATTATAAACTTAAAATTCAACTTAAATAAAGCTGTTATGGCTCTAAGCTAGCTGATGTGTTCACTAATGTAAAATATTTTGCTAACACCAACGTACCCTTATATAGGTGAATAAATATTTATTTGTATTCAATGTAGATGCAGATATCTCATTAGCCAATATAAGGATAAACATACGAATAATAAAAGCTGTTTGCATGTCTTGTTCAAGCACTTTCTTAATCAATAAAGTCACGCTACTCATATCTCTTAAGCATCTGTAAGACAATTACTTTATTGTTTACAGGCTGCACTTGGAACTCATTTTAATTACTTATTGATTGCTTTGACAAATTATTGTTAATATTGATTGATGACTGGATTGTTCTAATAGATTGGAGCACACGTAAATTTATATTAAATGAGTGTCAAGGCACTCGAAATATTAAATATTGAGATTGAATCAAGTGCATTTGGCTAATCAAATATTTGCCTTAGTCAATTTTATTTTATTTTTTCAATTGTCAACAATGCAAAATCAATGTACGTGACAAAATGCTTAAAATTTAACTAAAATAAAGGGCGATTGAAGTAGAAGAAGAAGAACATCTTTCATAGCAAACAGAAACAAAAGACAAACCGAACTCAACCGACAGAAGGCTGACAATAAAGTTTTATTATAAACGTTTCAATTAGCCGAGATGACAAGAGCAGCCAAGCGCTGGCTTCGTCTTAGTTTCATTTGATTTGATTTGCCTTTGGTCAAAGTTCAAGCATTGCCAGGCAACAGCAGCTGCGACTAATTAAATGCGTCCCCTCTGCCCAAGTCCGGCACTGTCCAAAGGACACTTTTGTTCAAATTTTATTTGATCTGGTTGAAAAGTAACCCTTTGTCAGGCAGGCAGCACCTATCCATTGGCAATGGCATTGCCTCCATTGGCCTCAACGTAAACATGGCTTAGACCAGAACACTTTGGCCGACTTTCGCCAAAAAAAGACGTTTGTGGCCAACTTTTGTGGCTAACTAATTGAGTTAATTGCCAAATGATTGAGGCTAAGCTGATGGACGATAACGATTAGCAGCGGGATGAAGATAACGATTACGATAACGATAGCCAAAAGCTGAGTTTGAGGAGAATTGATATTTTGGCCAAATTTCTAATTTTAATTCAAGTGACTTGAAGTGAAGCTACCCTATAGCTTTAAAGTTAGTTAAGAGGGTGTTTAGAGAGATTCATTTTGAGCGAAATATTATACAGACTTTGTATAAAAGAAACTACATTGAAACTATATTTAAGTTCGTTTAATTAAATTTTCTATGATTTTTAAACTCTCACAAGTCCTGAAATGCCTTAACCAAATTTACTTGTTATTACATAAGTTTATTTCATATATTTATATGTATATTTCACATATGGTTGTATCTACTCTAACTAATTTTCTAGTACAACGTTAACTTATTCGCGCAATCAATTGCACAGTTAGCCAATTACACACTCTCAATTACGTCATCAAATCAAAAACTCAACTCAATAAAATATTTATATGATTCACTACATTTCGGGCAATTTCCACTAAAGTCAATTAATCAGTCAATCAGTGCTCTAAATGATATTTTCTTGTAAGCTGTCATCGAAAGGATGAGCGATATGTGAGCTGAAAAGGATGTCGACATGCCGAAGGACACTTGAGGACACACACAGATTTGCATTTACGAATATCCTTCAGTGTCAGCTGTCACTTTAATCAACCACTTCATGACACAGAATTGTAATTAATACTGCTCTCAGATGATATAAATGTTTTATACACGTATGACATATGTATGATGTGTGTCGACTTTTGGCCCCGATCGATGACAATGACTATTAAGATATAATTTAATTACCTGTCCTTTAATCAAGTGGCATCCACCTGAAGAGCATTTGATGTGCTGCAGCCTAAAAAGAACAGAGAACAAAACAAATTAATAATTCATCATTAATTGCATCTCTGAATATCTTTAATTAAAAGCTATTAACATGCTTGCCTACACTCAGAAAAATTTTCTTAATTCATACACGAAAAAACGTGGAAAGTGAGAACAAAATTGCTGGAATGAAAATGTATTAAGAACTTGAATTTTAATTTTTGGTTCATAAGTTAAAAATTTTTTTCTTTCTATAAATATTTTTTCTGCCTTTTCTTATATTTTTTAAGAATATTTAATATTTTTTCTAACATAATTAATAATAAATAAATAAAAATATTTAAAATATAATAAAAAAAATAAATATGCTGACTTAATTATAATAAGAAAAATGTTGCAAAATATAATACGTTGATAATAATATTTGAAAAAATTTTAACAAAATTAAATATAATAATAATAAAAAAATTTGTCATAATTGAATATAATAAATAAACAACAATAATTATACATATAAAAGCAAACATTTGCTCAAATAGTTCTTTCCTAAATCATAGATTGTTCACGCTTATCCAAAGTTTTCACTATAAAATATCAACTTTTTTCTCTCAATGCATGCAAATTCGAGTATTTTTAACCATATGCTGGCCGTAAGAATTTACAATTCAATTGTGGTCTTAACCATATGCGGTGTCAAACCGCCGCCGCCGCCGACGCCCACGCCAATGACCAAACGGTTCAAAAATTATGCGTTCGGTTAACGGGGGGGAATGGGCGTGGCAGGAAGATTGAACCGCATCCGCAATCACTAAAAATTAATTTCAATTTTATTGCACGAACAGCGCACGGCTGTGGCCAGTGGCATGGCGCATGGGGCACGGGTCATGAGTCTGTGTATAAAATAAAACTCAAGGCACGGCTCGAGTACAACAGAGGCTAAATTATGTAGTCCGACAAAATGGGGGCAAGCTCCGTGTTTGTGTGTGGGTCGATTTCAGTGGGCAAAGCCGAAAAATTTATGAAAATGCAAAAGCGTTTTTCAGGTTTACCCCAGGTAAGCTGCTGCAGCCCGCAGCCGCTGCTGCAACCAATTTTAATATGAATAGCAGCAAGCGCCAAAAAGCAAAACTGTCAGCAGTTACCAAACTCAACCAAAAACGTAAAAAAAATAGCAGAGAATGTATATAGAAAAGACGAACATGAATTGCGGTTTAAACATTGAATTATGAATATTTGCGCCCAAGCCGGAGCAGGGCCAGTGGCGTTGCCGGAGTGGTAGCCGGAGCAGTTGGGCTGGGCAGACAGGCAAAACATTTATCATCGCGGCGCTCAGATTTTGATTAAAAGCACAAAGTGCTATGTAATAATCATGCTCGGCTAAATAGGTAAATAAAGTGTAAATCAAACTGAAGTGAAGAGGATGTTCTGGCTGCGCTACAACTAGAAAATATCCTGTCTGCAAATTGTATAATAAACGTTGAACTAAGCTGATATACATAAAAGTTGTTTAACAGAATTTGAAGCAGAGATTTAAGATGTTAAGAAAAACGTTGGCATAAAGAAGACAGCAGACTTAAAGATTGTTTTGAAAGCCCAATAAGCACATATTCTCTTACATGAATATACTAACTGAAACTAACAGATGTTTAGCTTACTCTGCCATAAGCTTCAAGCTTATTTGATCAGCATATATTATGCATCACGAAAAACTCAGGCAACGAGACACCTCCATTTTAAAGTAGATATTTTCAGCTACCCTCTTACACACTTACCCACAGCTTAATATCATTCAAATATAATCTTCTTTTTGCTGTCCCAAATGTTTTCAGTATGCCCAAAATTAAATGAAAATTCTGTCGACCTGCGCCACTAAATGCTGAATGCAAATTATCAAATGTTAGCTCCATAGACGAAATGGCTTCGTTGAGAGCAATTATGAACATAAAAGAAAATTCAGTTTCAATAGGCTTGGTATACACTATCCCTCCCTATCCCTAACTCTCGTTGTCTGTCTTTTTGTCTAATGCAGTTGTTTAACCTAATTGGAGCCGCTTTGCCGCACGCAAAACATTCTTTCACTCACTCACAAACCCTCGGCCTAAATCGGGGCTAAGAATGATACCAATTAGCTTGGCTAAGCTGTCAGGCAATGGCAAGCCTTCAATTCATGTGATTTGACTAATTACAAACTTTTCTATTCAATATTGACGTGTTGAGGCTGAATGTAATACGAAAATAGACTTGAACAAAAGTGAAAAAAAGAGTCGGGTACATTTTAAAGCCTCTAGCAGACTAGAAACAAATTTCTCACAATTAAAACATTTAAATTACCAAATTGTGGTATGTAGACAGAGACATGTCAAAAAAAAAGGCATACGTTAGAGTGAAGAGCCAATTCTTAAAGAGTTTAAAGCAGCTGATCAGCATCTCAGTGGCAATGGCTGTGTAGCTATATAACGTGTACATTATATTATATATATATATTATTATTTTTAAATATTTTAAATATATATAAATACATATATACATATATATAAAAATAGTAATTAACATTTTTAAAGAGAAACCTTTCTTAATTAGCATTAGGAAAATCATTATGATCAAGTAATAATGCTAATGATCATATCGTTAATGCTAATTACCATAATAATCATGTACATAAACAATCATTATTCTTAAAGATCATTGCTGCCAATGATCATTATGACAAACATCATTATTTTAATAACAATAAGTGTTTATTAATAATAATTAATAGTAACCGAAATACTAAAAATGATATATTTTTAGCATTTTAAATATTAATTTAACAAAATCAAGAAAAACTAAAAAATATATCTACATACAAAAAAACTTAAAAATACATATATATTTAAACAAATACTATAGTTATTATTATTTAAACTTAAACAATTTAACAAAAAAATATTTAAATTTATTCACCATTTGCACTGCACAACACGATGACTGACCTAGTCCAGGTCATGAGCTTGACTGATCGTCCACAGCTGCTGCTGCGCCCTTTTATACCTGAAAGTCACTCAAACGGCAACTCAAACAGACTCCAGAGCCCTTTTTGAGTGAGAATTTACACTTCTTGTAAATTGAGTTAAAAGTAGAAGGAAAAGCGAACAGACAAATCTAACTATATACACGCAGAATATTTATGAATATTTATGCTATACATATATACTTTATATATGTATGTGTGAATCAAATGTGTTTTTACACAGTGAAGACATTTAAAGTGGGACATTAGAGTATAATGGTTTTGGCAGAAGTAGGCGTGGAAGACACGCATATGGGATCAATACTTGTTCAACTATTTACTATGAGAGAGTTATATGATCTAAAAAAAAACCTTGTGGAAACTACATATATTACTGGGTTGACAGAGAAATGAATAAAATCGAATATTAATAAAAATCGAATAGGAAATAGTAATTTCTATTTCAAATGTAAATAGCATTCAGATTATATATCCATATCATATTCGAAACCTTTATCAGAACAGACTTTAAGTCTATTGAACTTTAGGCAAATTAAGAGTTATATAAAAGCTGTAACAATTGCGACCACAAAAATATTTTTCGTTCTAATTACAAAAGAACTAAAATGAAATGAAACAAAAACTGTGTAAAATTCACAAATTTGTGGCGTAATAAAATTATGTAAATCTATTGATTATTTTTCATTTTTTATTTGTTTTGTTTTCTTCTTTTTGTTGTTACAAATTCCTTTTTGCTGACAAACTCATTTGGCTAACAAATTAGTGGCAGGTTATTAATTCTGTTTATGGCCAAAAAATGCCACGAAAAAGCAAAATTTTTACTTTTATTTCCCAATTTTTTTGTTTGCTTCAGTTGGCTTTAATTTGTTTGGTATGTTGTGTCATTTAATTAGGGAAGCAGACGGGATAATAATTTTAGGAATTTATGCGCGACACTAATTTGCATAATGCAGCACAATAAATCAGGGCGCACAAAATGTTTATTAATGCCAACTCTAATGAAAATCTATAACAAAATACCAAAAAAGCCAGAAAACAAAATGCTTCACTGGACTCTGCAGCCATGTCCATAAATTATGTGCAACGACTCAATCAAAATTCAAAATACGTATGCAAATGACACAGTCTGGCCTCGAAAGAGACGACAGCAGTGACAAATTGGAAAGAGAGCATGATGGAGAGCGTGGGAGGGAGTAAAACAAATGAATTAGCCATATCTAAGCTCATGAGTGAATAAACTACGGCGTGATAACGCATTATTATACTATAAAAATCATTAATATAGACGCTATAAAGCAACAAATATGCAAATTTTTGGGCATTGTCTTGTTTATGCCAAGTACACTGAGCGAAAATGTATAGCAGCCAAGTCGAGCAGAGACAGAACTGTGCTGTGTATTGGCTTAGTTAACAAATAAAGTTGAGCTGGCCTGTTAATAAATATTTTTTAGCTGAATTTGAAGCTTTAACATTTGAATTTAACAGGTATTTGAGCTAAATAACTTAATCTCAAATTGAGCTTTTAGATTTCACATAAAAACAAACTCCTTTTAACCCGTCTTAGCGCTTTAAAACTGCAAAAAAAAATGATTAAGCTACAAAGTCAACTTTGTTTTCTAAGCTCATCAACGGAATATTAGAAGCATTTATTGGGAAAACTTTTTAGTTTATTTTTACTTTATATCAAAGAAAATCTTAATCTCTTAAGCTTTCAATATTTTCATAAAGACTTATAAAATTTATATAAGATTTTTCTATGCGTACAAAATGCCATCTAGAAGGCGCTCAAACACACGTTTATAATGGACCCAATGACAGTGTTTTGTTTCTCTAAGTGTAGACTGCCAGACAGACAAATAAACGGACACACGCACACACACTTACACGATGCAGGCACATGCTTACACACACTTACGCACGCACTCACACACAGACACTTTGATGGGTTGCCATGCGTATTAGGCTGAGTGTGTGACACGCAAACCGCGTATGAAGCGCGAAATTGCGGCATTAGA